GCCAACTTTCGACGCCTCTTCGTCGCACATTCGAGCCAGCTTTTCTTTTCCGTCCGCCTTAAACCCTGCGATTTCCCGGCATGACTCACAGTCTGTACCCCTTTTGTCCAACCGCCGACGCAAATACATACATTTCTCTATGCCCATGTGCATACATTCTTCCCTCGTCATCCGCCAACAGACGGACATGCATACAGCCTTCGTCACGTCTGCCGACACAATTACGCAATCCGAATGCGCTCCAAACGACCTGCCCGATTCGGCACATGCAAGCCTCTTCTCTTTCAACTTGCGCTCTATCCCCAACGGGCCTCTGCATTTTTCACTCCGCCCTCCATCACATCCTCTGATCGGCCATACCATCTTAAGCAAGCCTTCACTCAACTTTTCTCAGAGGCCTACAAAACCTGTACCTTCTTCTATCACGTTTGATAAGAGGAAAACTTTGCACATTTTGCATACTTTTGCCATGCGGTCTGTGACGCTTATCTATTTTGTTTTGATATGTTTATGTATACAGGCGTTCCAATGTTGAGGGCAAACGAATGGAGGGTGCCTCTTATCAAATATCAAATAAAAGATATAGTATTAGAATAGAGTTTCGAGACTACCAGTAAATCAGTAGTATGAGATGTATTCACCCGAATTCGTTTAAGCTGATGAAGGACTGGTAGAATAAGAATTTTGCCACAATCATATGAGTTGAGCTGACGTTTCCATTGCATTTCACAAGGCCTTGCTTTTCCAAAAGTTGTTCTCATCCAGGCGCCAGTCGACTGCAGTTTCAATCTCGCATTGGTCTTATCAACACCCTCAGCGGGAGTCGAACCGCGACAGTACGAGTACCCTTGAGTCACAGGGAATAAGTGAATTTCAAGGAAGGTCAGGATTCTTTGCTATATTATATTCGAAACGCTACTCTAATACGAAAAAAAGTAAAGTAGTCGATTGCTATGGCAAATATACGTTTACTTCATTGCCACCACCACCAAAGAATATGATATAGCAAAGAGGCCTGACCTTCGTGTGACTCAAGGGTACTCGTGGCAGTGTAGCCAAGTGGTTGGCTTGTCAAGCTCCCATCCTGAACTGTCGTGGTTCGACTCCCACTGAGGGTGTTGATAAGACCAATGCGAGATCGAAACTGCAGTCCAGTGGTGCCTGGATGAGGACAACTTTTGGGAAAGCAAGGCTATGTGAAATTGAATGGAAAACGTCAGCTCAACTCATATGATTGTGGGAAAATTGTACATCCAGTCCTTCATCACCTTATACGAAATAGGGTAAATACATCTCGTATAAATAACATTGTTAGGGAGACTTTCATTTCGTATGAACGTGAATGAAGAAGAGATTTGTTGGTCGATCTCACCAGAAGAGGACGCATGAATCGCGTTGTACTGCAGCCTTTCGGCTTTTATGCGACGTTCAGGTGGACGCGGTCCACGAGACTTTCTCCCTCGTTTCGGGTGAAAACGTACTGAATTTCGAGACTATCAGTAAATCAGTAGTATGAGATTAATTCAGCCTATTTCGTTTAAGGTGATGAAGGACCGATGGAAGCATCTGGCCAAAATGATTTGAGTAGAGCGGACGTTTCCATTGCATTTCACATAGCCTTACTTTCTCAAAAGTTGTTCTCATTCGGGCACCAGAGGACTGCAGTTTCGACCTCGCATCGGTCTTTTCTACATCCTCGATTGGATGAGAACAACTTTTGGGAAAGCAAGGCATTTTGAAATTTAATGGAATCGTCAGCTCTACTCATATGATTGTGGGAAAATGCCACTACCAGTCCTTCATCACCTTAAACGAAATAGGCTGAATTCATGTCATACTACTGATTTACTGGTAGTCTCGAGACTACTCAAATACGAAAAATAAATCTCACGTTAACACGAGGGAGAAAGTGTCGTGGACTGCATCAACATGAATATCGTATCAGAGCCAAACGGCTGCAGTAAAACGCGATTCATCCGTCCTCTTCTGGTGAGATCAACAAACGAATCTCTTCTTCATTCACTTTCACACGAAATGAAAGTCCTTCTAGTAATGTTATCTCAAGAGATTAATCGAAATCCAGTTTCTCTTCACATCCATGAATAACATTGTCGGGTAGACTTACATTTCGTATGAAGATGCCTGTGTGAAGGAGAGATGCGAAGGTCAATATGACCGGACGGCGACGACTCATTCGTGTTTTACTGTAGCCATTTGGTTTGAATATGACGTTCAGGCTGATGCAGTCCACGAGCCATCCTCCGTCGCTTCGAGTGAACACGGGCTGAACAATCGTCTATCTTTTGATGCACATCATCAGAGTTGTAACTAATTATTGTCAAATTCCCGCGCAAACACCAGGTCAA